GCAGAATGACAATAAAGCTCAACTTGACTTGACTTGACTTGATCAGCAGAACCGCATGGGGCCCAGGAGGAGCTAAGCTAAGCACAATCTCTTGTTTTTGAAATTCAGGGGTTTCTTTTACAAGGTTGTTCTTCCACCAGCCCGGCGTATCAACTACAGTGACCTGCCTTCCGGCAAAATCTCCATGCATCTTCACACACTGGGCCGTTCTCCTTAGATGAGGCTCTGCACGACCTGTTATTAGGTTTGCCAAAGAGGTTTTCCCTGCTGCTCTGTTTCCCAATAACACAATCCTCAAATCAAAAAGAAACTGGACTCCTGCCAATAAGAGACAATGCATTCCTAATATTAAAAACATGATTTCTTGTTCCCTGCTGTCTATACATCTAGATATTTTTGTACTTACATTTAAGCTTTACTTAAATAAAAAATCCCATTTGAAATGCTAGAAAACACCAAGATATTAAATGTGTTCATCAGGGAACTTACCAAATTCACTTGCTTCACATGTAGCCACTGCTGCACACCCTTATTCATAACCCTGCCTAAAATATTTAGAAATAATGTCACTTTTGGTCTGAATTAGTTACCGCACCATTTAAATGATATGAGAAGGTTAATAAAATGACTTCCGTCTTCAACTTTGTATTAATGTGTTTTTGTGGGACCAAGATCAAGCTAATGGATGATGCTTTTAAAATGACAAGATTACCACCCCATACATTTACAGCGCTTTTCAACAAGCTTTCAGAAGCCATTAGCTATCTGTGAAAGAATGAATAAGTGAGATGAAAAAGGTTTTACCTTTGTTCTCATCACAGCAGAAGAGCTGACAGTGAAATGAAGAATATTATTCTTGTGTGCACAACAAATATGAGCAAAACTGGTTAGTCAGGCTGAACAAGTGACTCAGGACTTTTATGGAGTCTTATAAGAAGGGGCTCTATTTCCATTACATTGACCAGTTTAAATGGATACATCCATTAAGAGCCCCTTGTACATGTCCATCCTGGATATTGTAATGAATTAGCAGTGGTGGACGAAGTACACAAATCAAGTACTTGGTTACTCACACCATTGCACCTTTAAGACTCATCATCTCTGGTCAACACTCTGAGGACATCACTTTCCTTCTCACTAACACTCCCTCTGGTCCTCTGGTTTTGGGGCATCCTTGGTTGGTGCGCCATAAGCCCCATATTAATTGGGAAGGCAATGCTGTCCTGGGTTGGAGCGAATATTGTCATGCTTCCTGCTTGTTGTCTGCATGTTCTCCTGTCTCTTGTTCTGTGTTTCAGGAGGATCACTCGGACCTGTCTAACGTGCCCCATGAGTACCTTGACCTGAAGGGAGTGTTCAGTAAGTCTCGGGCTGCTTCTCTACCTCCACATCGTCCCTATGACTGTGCAATAGACTTATTACCAGGTACGTCTCCGCCTAAGGGCAAATCATATTCACTTTCCACTCCGGAGAGGGAGGCCATGGAGAAATATATTTCTGATTCTCTAGCAGCCAAGATCATCCGCCCCTCTTCCTCTCCGGCCGGTGCGGGCTTCTTTTTTGTGAAAAAAAGGACAGCTCTCTTCGTCCCTGTATTGACTATCGGGGCTTGAACGACATCACGGTGAAGAATACTTATCCTTTACCGTTGATGTCGTCAGATTTCGAGTGTCTGCAGGGGGCGTCATTTTTCACGAAATTAGATCTCCGCAACGCTTATCATTTGGTTTCAAGATTCAAGATTGTTATTTGTCACATACATGGTTATATAGGGAATATATAGGTTTGCATGAGAGAGGGGGATGAATGGAAAACCGCCTTTAATACCCCCAGGGGGCACTTTGAATATCTTGTTCTTCCCTTTGGCCTTTCCAACACTCCCGCGGTTTTCCAAGCACTCGTTAATGATGTGCTGAGAGATATGGTAGATCAGTTCATTTATGTTTACCTGGATGACATACTGATATTTTCTCGTTCTCTCCAGGAACATGTTCAGCACGTCAGACGAGTGCTTCAGAGGCTGTTAGAGAATGGGCTTTTTGTCAAGGCGGAGAAATGCGTTTTTCATGCACAGTCTTCCCTTTTTGGGATACATCGTCTCAGCCGAGGGGGTGCGCATGCATTCCGACAAAGTTCAGGCTGTGGTGAATTGGCCAACCCCAGATTCCCGCAAGGCCCTGCAGAGGTTTCTGGGCTTTGCCAATTTCTACCGGCGGTTTATTCGCAATTTCAGCCAGCTAGCTGCCCCTTTGATGGCCTTAACCTCCACCAAGACTGTCTTCAGGTGGTCTAGTGCAGCGGAAGCTGCATTTTCCAAACTGAGAAGTTGCTTCGTTTCAGCTCCCATCCTCATAGCCCCTGATCCTTCCAGGCAGTTTGTGGTGGAGGTTGACGCGTCAGAGGTGGGAGTTGGTGGGGTACTATCCCAGCGTTCCCCCATGGACGGCAAGGTGCACCCCTGCGCGTATTTCTCTCATCGTTTGTCCTCCGCCGAACGCAATTATGATATTGGTAACAGAGAGTTGTTGGCAGTCAAGTTGGCCTTGGAAGAATGGCGTCATTGGTTGGAGGGTTCGGGGGTTCCTTTTGTCGTCTGGACAGATCACAAGAATCTTGAATACATCAAGTCCGCTAAAAGATTGAACTCTAGGCAGGCTCGGTGGGCTCTTTTTTTCGGCCGATTCGATTTTTCCATTTCTTACCGTCCAGGTTCTAAGAACATCAAACCGGATGCATTATCCCGCATTTTTGATCATTCGGAGCGCCCGTCCCTGCCCGACCCCATTGTGCCAAGGAAACTTTTTATTTCTGCGGTCACGTGGGAGATCGAGTCAAAGGTCCGCACGGCCTCTCAAGGGGTAACGCCCCCGTCCGGGTGCCCACCGAGCCGGTTGTTTGTGCCAGAGTCCGTAAGGTCCGACGTTATCCAATGGGGGGCGTCATTTTTCACGAAATTAGATCTCCGCAACGCTTATCATTTGGTTCGCATGAGAGAGGGGGATGAATGGAAAACCGCCTTTAATACCCCCAGGGGGCACTTTGAATATCTTGTTCTTCCCTTTGGCCTTTCCAACACTCCCGCGGTTTTCCAAGCACTCGTTAATGATGTGCTGAGAGATATGGTAGATCAGTTCATTTATGTTTACCTGGATGACATACCGATATTTTCTCGTTCTCTCCAGGAGCATGTTCAGCACGTCAGACGAGTGCTTCATAGGCTGTTAGAGAATGGGCTTTTTGTTAAGGCGGAGAAATGCGCTTTCCATGCACAGTCTGTTCCTTTTTTGGGATACATCATCTCGGCCGAGGGGGTGCGCATGGATTCCGAGAAAGTTCAGGCTGTGGTGAATTGGCCAACCCCAGATTCCCGCAAGGCCCTGCAGAGGTTTCTGGGCTTTGCCAATTTCTACCGGCGTTTTATTCGCAGTTTCAGCCAGCTAGCTGCACCTTTGACTGCCTTAACCTCCACCAAGACTGCATTCAGGTGGTCTAGTGCAGCAGAAGCTGCATTTTCCAAACTGAGAGGCTGCTTCGTTTCAGCTCCCATCCTCATAGCCCCTGATCCTTCCAGGCAGTTTGTGGTGGAGGTTGACGCGTCAGAGGTGGGGGTTGGTGGGGTACTATCCCAGCGTTCCCTCACGGATGGCAAGGTGCATCCCTGCGCGTATTTTTCTCACCGCTTGTCCTCCACCGAACGCAATTATGATATTGGTAACAGAGAGTTGTTGGCAGTCAAGTTGGCCTTGGAGGAGTGGCGTCATTGGTTGGAGGGTTCGGGGGTTCCTTTTGTCGTCTGGACCAATCACAAGAATCTTGAATACATCAAGTCCGCCAAGAGATAGAACTCTAGGCAGGCCCGGTGGGCTCTTTTTTTCAGCCGATTCGATTTTTCCATTTCCTACCGTCCAGGTTCTAAGAACATCAAACCGGACGCGTTATCCCGCATTTTTGATCATTCGGAGCGCCCGTCTCTTCCCGACCCCATTATACCAAAGAAACTTTTTATTTCTGCGGTCACGTGGGAGATCGAGTCGAAGGTCCGCACGGCCTCGCAAGGGGTAATGCCCCCGCCTGGCTGCCCACCGGGTCTGTTGTTTGTGCCAGAGTCTGTAAGGTCCGACGTCATCTGATGGGCTCATTGTTCCAAGGTAGCCTGTCATCCTGGGGTGAATCGTACGCACATAACTCGTTACCAGTCTCAGCTACAGGTCTATCTCCGTTTGAGTGTAGTTTAGGGTACCAGCCACCACTTTTTCCCAGTATGGAATCCGAAGTCGCGGTTCCCTCTGCCCACGCCTTCGGCCAGAGGTGCCGACGCACCTGGAGTAAGGCCAGATTGACCCTCCTCCAGGTGGGGGCGCGCACCAAGGTTCAAGCCAATCGCCACCGGTCGAAACCTCCCGTTTACGTCGTCGGTCAAAAAGTGTGGCTTTCAACCAAAAATATCCCCCTACGATCCGTCAGTAATAAACTTGCTCCCAAATTCATTGGCCCGTTTACTGTCACCAAGATTATTAGTCCGGTGGCAGTCCGCCTCAAACTTCCTCCAGCGTACAGGAGAATTCATCCGGTGTTTCATGTATCCAAAATTAAGCCTGTTTTTCATTCAGCCATTAATCCGCCGGTCCCGGTTCCTCCCCCGCCGCGTCTCGTAGACAGGGAACCAGCCTATTCGGTAAAACGTATTCTGGACTCAAGGCGGAGGGGACGAGGATTTCAGTACTTGGTGGACTTGGGAGGGTTACGGTCCGGAGGAGAGAAGTTGGGTACCTGCTAGGGACATACTGGACCACTCTCTTATCGATGAATTTAATCGTCAGGTAAGTCTTCCTGGGAATGTCAGGAGGCATTCCTAGGGGGAGGGGTACTGTCACGGTTCATGGGTCCGTGCGTTCAATTCTGCGTGTCTGTTTGTGTTACCTGTCTGATTGCTCGTCAGCGTTGCTCCGGCAACCAAGGGACTGACGAGCTAATCAGCGCGGCTGCACCTGCCGCTCGTTCTGTCCTGTCTTTATTTGTCTCGTGTGTTGGGCTGCGTGTTGTCAGATCGTTGTTTGTCCTGGCTCATGCTTGTTGTCTCTCCAGAGCCTGTGTGTCGGGTGGATCTCTGCCTCGGATTGTTTCCAGTCCTCTGTCTCGGATTATGTCCAGTCTAGGAACCCATCGAAGTCTCGTTGGATTCCTCTCCCCTAGTTGGATCAGGTCGGGACTTCGTAATCCCCGTGTGCTCACGGCTACTCACCTTGATCATCACGTTTGGCTTGCGACCCAGCTTCACTATTTAATTGTCACAATAAATCACTTTTCACTTGCAACTGGATTCTGAGTTCTCTGCCCGTAACAGAACGATCTGACCAGGATGGATCCAGCAAGTGCCGCGGAGCTCAGAGACGTTCTTTCCGGCAGCAGTGCTCGCATGGAGCAGCAGGAACAGCAGATCCTGGCTACCGGTCGAGCTGTACAGACATTAATAACGCAAGTTTCGGATTTAACCACCCAATTTCGTCAGCTAAGGGCTGAAGCGACCCAACGGCCCACTGCGCTCGATTCCGCTACAGCTTCACGAGTGGAGTTTCCCAGCCGGTGGGCTGAGCCCCGCCTACCGCCTCCAACAGTCTACTCCGGTGAGCCCCTGTTGTGTCGATCATTTCTAGCTACCTGTTCACTTCATATTGCTCTCCAGCCTTCATCTTTTCCCACAGAGGAGTCCAAGGTGGCGTTTGTTATCACGCTGCTGACTGGACGTGCGGCACTCTGGGGAACAGCGGTGTGGGAGCGGAAGCATCAGTGTTGTTCGTCATTCCAGTCTTTTTCGGACGAACTCAGGAAAGTCTTTGATCGGGCGGCGTACGGCAGGGAGGCGGCGCGGGAGTTGGCGGAGTTACGTCAGGGAGATCGATCGGTGACTGATTACGCGATCGAGTTTCGCACTTTGGCAGCAGAGTGCAAGTGGAATCAGGAAGCACAGTGGGACGTTTTTAGGCATGGACTGGCCGATCGGATCACCAATGAAATCTACACTTTAGAACTACCCACCTCACTGGACGGGTTGATCGATCTGGCGATTCGAGTGGACAATAGACTGCGACGGCGTGACGAGCGAACTCTACGGGTGTCGGCAGGTAGTGGCGATCATTTCACCGCCCCGACTAAAGGGTCCTCTGGTTACCTCTCCGGTCCCGAGCCTATGCAGGTGAGC